CTTAGGTGTATGTGGCTGGCGCCTTAGCCACTTGAGCCACAGGCGCCAAGCCAAGCCCAAGAGTTTGAGGTTGCTGTGAGCTATGATATCATAGCACTTTACCAGAGGTGACGACAAAGTGAGACTTTGTCTCAAAAAAAAAAAAAACAAGCATCAATCTTTGTTTGTAAAACAAACAGATATGGAGGCGCCTGTGGCTCAAAAGGTAATAGGTATGAAAAATATTTTAGTATGATGTTAAGAGGACATGCCACCCATCTTTTTGCCTTACTTCCAAATTTAAATAATTTATTTGGTGTTGTTTGCTGTTTTGTTTTTCAAATACTCTATAAGCTTACAATAATTTTCATCTAATTTTTTTTTATTTATTTATCTTTTTGAGACAGAGGCTCACTTTGTCACCCTTCTTAAACTCCTGGGCTCGAGCAATTCTCTTGCCTCAGCCTCCCAAGTAGCTGGGACTACAGGGGCCCACCACAACGCCTGGCTATTTTTTGGTTGTAGTTGTCATTGTTGTTTGGTAGGCCGGGCTGGATTTGAACCCACCAGCTCCGGTGTATGTGACTGGTGCCTTAGCCGCTTGAGCTACAGGCACCAAGCCAAGATCAGGAATATATTTCCTAGACATACAGTTTTTTTAGAAAATTACTGGATGTGGGCTTAGCACCTGTAGCTCAGCAGCTAGGGTGCCAGCTACATACACAGGAGCTGGTGGGTTTGAACCTAGCCCAGCCCTGCCAAACAACAACGACAACTACAACCAAAAAGGTTGCTGTGAATTGTGATGCCATGGCACTCTATCAGGCAACATAGTGAAACTCTGTCCCCCCCCCAAAAAAAAAATAAGAGAAAATTACTGCATGTGGTCAAAAGCTGATAGGAATACAAAACTGTTATCCCCTGTGGTTCTCTATCTGTTTAAGGTATATAGATTAAAGAACTTCCCAAAGTTTTTAAAGTCATGGTACAGGCTTAGCGCCCATAACTCAGTGGTTAGCGTGCCAGCCACATACACTGGTGCTGGTGAGTTTGAACCCAGCCTAGGCCTGCCAAACAACAATGACACCTACAACAACAACAAAAATAGCCAGGGTACGCCTGTGGCTCAAAAGAGTAGGACTCCAGCCCCATATACCGCAGGTGGTGGGTTCAAACCCGGTTCTGGCCAAAAACTGCAAAAAAAAAAAAAAAATAGCCAGGCATTGTGGCGGATGCCTGTAGTCCCAGCTACTTGGGAGGCTGAGGCAAGAGAATCGCTTAAGCCCAAGAG